ACACACACACACACACACAACACCACCACCACCCTGCTTTTCCTCTGAAAGGCAATTAACTCTACATTGATAGCTCAGCAGTGGGAGGTGATCGGCCCTGTTCTGCTAGCTCCCTGATAAGAGCTGAAAGGCGTTTTTTGGCACCCAGCCGTAATGGCTGCTGCGAACACAAGCGCACACAAGCAATGCAAGTACACACACACACACCATACATATAATCATTGCTTTCAGGGTTTAAAGCTGTCACTCTCAGAAAGGGTCATTTTTACTGCCACTGCCTATCACTGACATGCAACGACTAGAGGAAGCAGGGGCAGGGTGTGTGCAAACATATCATCCATCAGTGAATGCTGAGCGAGTGCTATAGAGTTGAAAAGGCCAAATTAATCACACTATCAGCTCTGTAATGCTGTAAATTAGCCATGCATGGCCTGCTGCAGCACCTTATTGGAAAGTAAACAGGCGATGACTGAAAACATCAGCACTAAATCCCTCACAATTAACTAGAACAGCCACTGTAATTTGAGTGTATTGATCTGTTGATGATGTTTTGGGATTGGCATGAGATGGTGATGAGGATTATAGATTTATGATTGGATGTAAAGTGACTTTTTTAAAATACGTAAAATATGTGTGTTCCTTTTACAAGATTATTGGATCTGAACTAAAGGCACACCCATATTATTACCTCCTGTGACCCTCTGTAAGTAAGTGATGCCAAGAAACCCTGAGGCTATGATGGATCGATGCCCACACAGAAGCCTCCCGGTCAAATACGCACCATACATGTAAACAACAAATTGGATTTTTCCTTCTCTTGAATCACTTCATTTTAAACTCATCTGCACAAATGAACCTTCATTAACCAATTAATGCCCAGCACAATCTCCTCTGTGATCTGGGTTTTTCACTGACAATTCTTTTTATTTCTTGGCTGTATATATTGTTCCAATTATACACTTGTATTATAACAAACACACCTCACACACACCTCTCACATAACTCCACAACTCCACACCAAGTGTTTGAGTATGTCACCAGTAACACAAACATACAACCACTAGGGGTCGAAGATACACGTATGCAAAGTCATGGGAAAAGCGGATATGACTGCTTATCATTGTAATGTCTGACAAATTGCGGTTGAAGTTGTCTCAACTTCTTTGTGCCAACAAAAAACATGATAAACAGCTTATTGTGCAAGGACGCCAGCTTATTTGTAATGCCTTGATTTAACGATAAGATGTCATTTCCTCTTTTGTTTTGGTAACATTTAGATAAAGGATCCCTACATGTTTCCAGATGAAAACAAGAAACTTTATGAAAAAGTGCTCTCTCATGGAAAACAGATCCCTGCTCTCAAAGATGGAATTCATCACTTCCCCATTCATTATGTGTTCAGTCACACTCACTGTCTTTATCCTGGTCTTTGTTTGACTTTCACCCACCATTTCCTCATATCTTACTAGCTCCACCCCGCCATCCATTCCTGTTGTCACGGTTGCGTAAGCAGCAGCAACTTGTAATTCTTTCCCAAGGGAGCATTCTGTGCACATTTTGAGTTAAACATACAACACATGCAAAGTTATTAAAGTACTGTATCATCCTTTATTTTAAAAACAGTTGTGACATTTTTTGGGTGAAGCAGCTGAGATCTCAAAGTTTTTGTATAATC